GACAAAGAGGAAGAAAGCAAGTATAGGAAGGTAAAGGACTGATTCAGGCAATTCATCCTCCCATTCCATCCATATCTGGAAGCTGCAGTTAATAGAGGCAGAAGCATGGAACACTACAGATGAATGATTCAGTTCTTTATTCCCTCTTTGTGATTGGAGGCTAAAACTACATTTCGAGATACATGATGACAACTCTAACAATAACTAGCTTATTCAAGCTGGGGCCATATATGGAACCTCTGCTAAGCACTGTCCATGCATTATGCCATTTAATAATCACAAGAATCCTATAAGGTATGGAATAATAATAATGATACAGATGAGTAATCGATGAAGAACTTTGCCCAAGGTCACACACACACAACTAACAATCAGCAGAGCTAGTCTTCAAACCACTGGTCATTTGATTTCTTCTTAGCGTCCAGCCTACACTACTGCCCTCACCCAATCTCAGATAATGAGATGTAGTGGGCAAAACTTGAGGTCTGGAATCTGAAGATTTGCATTAATTATTAGTTTGAGTAGGCCACTCCATCTCAGTTTCATCATTTGTGATATGAGAATAATCATATCTGCCCCACCTGCCTTCCAAAGCTCCCATGATGTTCAGGTGAAATGGTTTACATGGGAGAACTTAAGAAACAGGAATGTGCTATACAAATATCAGCTAATAGGGTTTATTTATGAGTGTAGTCTGTTGATGGATTGGTAGGAATTTAGTTGGTGTTTAGGGAGTATTTTATGTGTGATAGTCGAAAATGAGTTCCACCCAAACCAGATATGAGAAATGGATAAAAATGATGGACTTTGCCCACATAGATAAATGGATGTGATTTGAAGAAAGAAGTGTCTGTCCCATAGCCATGTGCTCCAGGCTTGGGGAAATAGTAATTGGCGCCTACAGAAGAGTAGAACATCAAAGACAAGGTTCCTCTTCTGAACACAGTTGTGTTGGGACCAGCACTGCTTACAGATTAAGCACAGGCAAATCCGTTTGAATAACAGTGATTTTCTGGGAATTAAAAAAAAATGATCTCATCTAAAGAATAGACCCGCATTTCCATATTTATTTACTTGGAGAAGACTGATCACTTATAAGGTTTCAAAATTTTGTTTTGTAACCTATACATCTTCCCCGCAATATCTTTTTCCATATGAAATGAAATGCAAAAGACGTTATCCACGTCTTTTACATTTCTGGGGGAATGTAATGTTAAAGAGAAGAAAGCAACTTGAGATCCAATTTCATCTATCAGATTTTCCACCTGTCCTTAGCATCATAACTCTTGTTGCTTTTCACGTAAAATAATATTCTTGACTACAGTAACTTATTTTCTCATACTCAAGCATATTGTTGAGCACTAGAATAGATACCAGTAGTTCTCTGTTCAACATCCATTCCCTCTTCAGGTAACAGCGCCTCGATTTTCCTTTAAGACACCACCCTCTCTCTCTGTTCTCAGTCCTTAAGATTCCATTGGGGCTGACTCTGCCTATTGTTTCCATGGGTTGGCCAGTGACCTACCCCTGACCAATCAAAGTAATGGTGACTTTTTTTTTTTTTTTTAGGCTGGGCATGGGACCCAATCAACTCTTTGGGTATTAATCCTGGAATGTTTGGTGCAACTACTGAGAAAGAAGTTAAACTTGTAAGATATCATCTTTGAGGTGCTGGTAGTCATCATTGCTGCAAATTGAAGAGAACCTATTTGAGGACAAGGCCAACACAAAGAAAAGAGGAGCCAAAAGATATATATATATAGCCAAAAGATAGATAGATAGATGCCTACATATATATATATATATATATACACCTATAGATAGATAGATGCATATATATATATATATATATTTCCTAGGGGCATTATTGGCGCACTTATCTCTCCCTTGTTCTTTTCCATTATGTGAGCTAATACATTCTCTTTTTTATTAAGCCAGTTTCTAGTGAGGTTCTGTTACTTGCAGCTGAAAGCAATCTCATTAGCCCAGTGGGATTTATCAGTTGTGCAACGTTTATAATTTCTCAGAAATAGAAAGAAGAGATCAAAAGAGAATCTGTGGAGCTGGGATTTACTCCTTTTGTTTCATGTCCCTCCCTGTTCTTGATCACTCCCGAGTGCTGAGTGACAGTAACAGGAAACATGCATACAGCACAGGCAATGTGACAGGCACTCTTTTAACCCCATGTTTTTGGTATAATTATTATCCTCATTGTACCGATTAAGGAAACCAAAAAGAACCCCTTTCAGTGTTTCAAAAGCCATCCAAGCACTTGAGATGTAACTTTAGCCTCAGTGTAACACCTTCCAGATGTTAACAGGTGTTGTATTTGTATCAGCATAAGAATCTATAAAAGCACTTTGGTTAAGAGTCGAATTATGCTCCTCATTCTGTCACTGCAAAGCTGTTGAAATTTGGAGAAAGTCACCTAATCATTCTTTCACACCAGAAAATCCAGAACTCCAGCAAAGAGGAAGGAGGGAAAAAAAATAGCTTGTGCTCTAATATTGATCTTAAAAATCAAAGCTTTCGATTGTAGTCCCATTAATTGGCTGTGTGACCTTGAGCATATCATGCCATTGCCCTGGGTGTCTATAAAACCAAGTCAGTGATTCAACCTGCTTATCTCTGGTATGTTATGTGTGAAGCAAGCAAGAAAAGATATTTAAAAGTGATTTGTGAAATTGAAAGTTCTTGGTACATGGAAGATATTGTGACTACTTCTAGTGTCAAAAATTTGCATTTGCCTGAGTGAGAGAGAATATTTCCTTCATCATGGTACTAGGGGATATGGCTTAGAAATCCCCCAAGCCACAACCAGAAAATAAGCCTTGGCTGGGGTGGATAAGAAAAATAAGAAGAAGAAGAAAAAGAAGTAGGAGGAGGAAGAGGGGGAGGAGGAGGAGGAAGAGGGG